CATAGGCTAAACAAAATTTATCGAATCAGCAAAAGCTAAAAATATGAATTAATTAATCAGATTTTTGAAATTTAAATCCTAGCAAATTTTGAGGTCCGCTAACTGAAAGATGTGTTGACCTCGCCAACGTCTTTATTTACAATAAGTACAAAGATACAGTGATCAATTGATACATCAATAAAAGATATATAGTACACATACAATATACAAATATCATTAGTCAGAATATGAATAATAATTAGTTACTGATGGAACACAATACAGAATATAAGAATAAACTTATCAAAAGGTACAATCTAAAAAGTTGTTAAACATTTTCAAACCATAATAATTATACGTTATACATAAATTGTGTTTTCATTAGAATACAAGAATTCCACAAGTTTGGAAAATAGATGTCGACCTTTTTCTAATAACAATAGGTCAAAATTCAGAGTTTGTGAAAAAGTTCTTTTCTTTTTCTGTCCAGGCTCGGGCAGTTTAGTATCATATGTAATGCGTCTGCTGTTTCTAGTCCACATATACAGCGACATGGTGGAGTCTTGAGAGTTTAAATCTGTTAAAGTAACAGGGAAAGGCTCCGTGATTCGAGAGAAGTTGGTTAATAAAGAAATCATTGAAGTGTCGTTTCTCGGAGATTCTAGGAAGAATCTTGAAGGTTGATCTGCCAGTTTCTTCTTCTTGCCATCGATGTTGCCACAAAAGAAGAGCTTGTTCTTTAGCTTTACGTACTATATGACTCAGTGGAATTTTGCAATCTATTCGCACTTCAGAAGATATTCCTTTTTTGGCAAGTTCGTCTGCTTTCTCGTTACTTCTGTAGCCGCGATGGCCTCTAATCCAATGTAGTTTGGCTTTAGTATAATAAACGAGCTTTTTAACTTCGATGATTTCTGAGTTTAGGATATCAAACTTTGCCAGTGATTTCAACACTGCTTGGCTATCCGTGTATAGATGGGCTTTATACTTGTGTTCTTTTAGCCATTGTAAAGCTGATTTCATCGCTTGGGTTTCCGCTTGATATACTGAACAATTTGGGTCTAGTTGAAAAGAATATTCAGTTTCTAAGGTGTCATTCCAATATACAGAATCCTGCTCCTATGCCAACGTCATTTTTTGATTCATCCGTGAATATTTCATAACCTTTTATTAGATGGAAGATGATCGTTCCATTCACAAGTCTTTATCCATGCTGGATGGGTAAACCATTTATGTTTGGGAAAGTCGAGAGCTTCTTTAGAGAAGTTCAGATTTTCAAATGAAAAATCTGACCAGCCTCTTTTGGTTCTTTGAATTGCACTTTCTTGATCCAATTTAATATCTAAAGGTATCAGGCCAGCTAAAATCTTCAAAGCTGAGGTCGGGACAGTTTTGTTCGATTTTGATTATGAATTTATTTTATAAAAATCTAAGCTACTGGACGACAAAAATATAGATTTTAGCAAAATGTTTATGTTATGTGCAACGAATGATAACTACGAATGTACCTTAAGGTACATCTAAAATGTAAAAATATCACGAAAATATGAAGTACTTCAAAGTTCAATTTCCTTATAATTAACTGGTATTTAAGTGTAAAATTAGTATACTTCTTTCGATGCCCTTTACAATGAATTTGCTACTTTTCTTTTATGTTTCAAATATCAAAACGTTTTAAATAAAATATATTTTTCATTCTCCACGTAAGACTGTAATATGCAATTTTGTAAAATTTTTAGGGAAGAGGCATAACAGTTGCTCATTATAAACTCATCATTTTATTTTTATATAATTGAAAAATAACCGCTTTGGGTTTATTCATCTTATGTGAAAAATTAGGTTACCTCCAAATCCTGAAATTCTTCTTATAATTAATAAATTATACAGACAGATATGCTAATAAGTTAACTTTTCCTTCATTTGTAACCGTATACTTGTGTAAATTTTATACAGAAACATTTGGCAATTCAACTAAATCCGTGTGCAGTCAAGGTGATGTGAACTATGTGAACGTGCCAGCTTATTAGGAATTTGAAAATAGGATGATATTAGTGTTATTAACAGGCACATTAATACATTTTACATATTGTTGCATTTTGGATTATCTCGCAATATGTAAATTTCAGGTATTTGTGAATTTAAATAAATTAGTTGTTTTACCTTTTCTTAAAAACCGAAGCAGTGTTGGTATGCAGAGTAAGGAGATTTGAGGACAATGAGGTTAAGTTTAGATATGAAACGGATAGTTGTTATCTGTTATATTATCACAGAACTATTAAACTGGCTAAAATTATTAATAGAGGTCTGGGTAAAATGCTCTGTCAAAATATATTTACTGAAAAATTTAAATTTTATAATGAATATATCTAAAAACGTGTTTTAAGTCAAAGGTTAAAATTATGGACGTTAAAATATTTGTAATTAGGCACATACGTCAAGTTAAGTTGTTTAAAAGGGTAAACCATGCAAGAGCTATCTGCCTAAGGGGAAAGAGGCCTTCGTAGAGGAATTTCGAAGGAAAACTGACTTCTAAATGTGTATTAAAAATAATGCCTGTAATTTTCATTCAATTTGTGCATATTTCTAATGTAAAAAATTCTGATATATGTTAAATTACGGTAAATTAGTTTACTCGAAAAATGTAATGAATGCACAGAAATTAAAGATTTGCACATCCCGAAAACGAAAAATATTAAATATAGTATACCCTTGTAAAAAGAATGTATTTGCTTTTAACAAAATACGTAAATATTTATTAAATTATTTATAAATGCATTTGGAAATGAAGGGTTTATTCATTCATAAACTCCAGTGAATGTTACTAGCTATTAAATATATCTAAATTTATAATGATTATAAATACTATCTAAATATATTAATATTATCTAAATACTTTAAACATTTAATTGTAAATATAAATTGAAATTCTGTTGACAAATATATTTATAAAACTATTTAAGCAAGAATTGTTCATACTGGAAGACAATCTATTAAAAAGTGTTGTAAACACAGTCTATGAGATACGTACTTAAGGAAGCAGTAAGCAGAATTTAAAGAATGTGTATTGTTGAAATTAAGAGTTTTAAAAAAAAAAAAAAAAAAAACTGATAATTATTAAAAGAATAATTTTCTTATATTTTATAATAATCCAATTGCAAGTTTTAAATAATATTAAAAAACACTCATAGAAAGTTCCTGCCTTAGAAGTTAAAGAAGTATTTCAGAATGATGTTGTGTAAATAGAGGATATCCCGATTTTATACATTTACAATGCCATGACGCACAGATTTTATACATTTACAAACATCCATGCCTTCTCCGGAAAGCAATTTTATACATTTACAAACATCCTTTCTTATCTCTGGTTCTTCAGTACGGTAGTCAGAGTCACTAACCGCTATGCCGTTTGGGCGGCCTTCCGAACAGTAATGAGGCTTTTCCTGTTTATGTAGTGTTTACCTTTAAAAAAGGAACGAATGTCGGAGTTTTAGAAACTGAAACTAATCTTTCCCGAGTCTTTTAATTTTTTTAAAGTTTTATTAGTTGACAAACATAGTTATGATTTTTTCATTGGATAATCATGAAACTGAAAATCATAAATTAAAAGCAATCTGAAGTTTTCAGATTGTAGGTTTTTATTAACACCTTTATACATATTGCAGGTTTTTTAAACCCCTTTCTGTTCCACAAACATTTTAAAACCATTAAAAAATCAGAAATACTAAACAGTTGTTTAAATTTAGAGAGCAAAAGCAAAAAATAAGGAGTGCAGTTTTAACTGTGCTAATCAATGAATTTATTTGTTATGATTTCTGTTCGTTCTGTGAGTGCTTATCTACAAAATAAAAAATAACAAACAGCTTAAAATCTGCGGAAAAGTACAAGAAGAAGAAAATGGTGGGGGGGGACGAGGAAGATGACGCAAAGTTTACTTATTCCTGTTTGCTCCGCAACTCATAATTTATCTGAAGATCTAAGTAATACTCTTCCTTTATTTTATTTTATATTAATATATATTTTTTTCTAGAAACATCATATGTTTTTCTATTTTCCATTTTTATTTCGTTTAGTGTGGTTTGAAAACGCACAGCAGCTATATATTTATCTGCGTTAACCTTCTAAGAGTTTAAGTCTTAACGCAGCCTAGCGTATGTATATATCAACATGGATTATGCTGAACATAATAATTTAATAAAATTTTAACACGTTTTTTAACTAATTATTTCACTATTTTCGAATAAATTATCTTATTCCTTACGTATTAAAAATAATAATTATCATCTTTTACATTAAAATAAAAACCCGATTAATAATCTAGCCATAAAATAAGTTGTACTGAAACGGTGCCGAAACAAAACAAACAAACAAACAAAAAAAAAAAAAAAAAAAAATAAATAATAAATAAAATAAAAATAAAAATAAAAAAGAAGAGATAAACAGTGTTTCTCCTCTACACCAGAACGAAACGATTGTTTTTATTCTTATGAAGGTTGGGGTGAGAAGAAACTTCATGGTATTTATTTATCTAAAATGCATAAAAAACTATCATTTTATGCCCGTTCATCAATGAAAATTTCCTACTAAGCGCGTAATTTCTCGTCTAAATAAAAAAAATTCCCATTGACGAACTAAACATTCGATCGCACACATGTCAATGATCATTGAAATTAGTTACCCATCTCAACCCACGCGCTTTTGTTGTGTAGCATTTAGGCGGGAATGTTGCTCTCTTACGTTTACATCCTCCATTCACGCAGATGTAGTAATCATTGCTCCTCCCTTTACTATCAACTTACAACGTCAGCAGATGGAACAAATAAACTCGCTTAAGTTTTTGAAATTGAAGCATCTATTTAGTGTTAAAGTATCAATCGACTAAAATTCCAACACCAATAAGCTTTAACACTGAGAGATACAAGAAAATAAAGGAAGAATTATTTTCTAGGTACGAGTCGCAATTGTGGGAAGGGCCGGCGCAATAACAAACTACCGTAGAGTGCGTTAAGCGGTCTTCTCATGTCATGTATTCCTACTCGCGTATTTGCACCTCATGTTGAAAGTGGACAAAGTATTTCTATGGAGTTTCTCAGGAGGTTGGATTTATGGCGCCCAGAATATCGTCGCTGTATTGTTTGGTAATAATAGCGTTACTGATTAGCTGCAGAGAAGGTAAGTGTCAAATCTGTGCCCTTACTCTGTTTCCAGAGTTCGTGTAGAAGTACGAATCGCTTGCATCTTCCCGAACGGAAATGTTTTTGGTCGGTCAGCCTATCATGGCTGACCCCCTGCCTCTCCCCCCATTTCATACTGCGGGAAGAGGCTCATCACCCGCTTGGAATGTCCATCACTGTCCAGATCCCTGACATCTTAACCTTGTCAATTTGTGATAGCTAACGCGATGTGGTTAATGCTTCAGAAATGGTTATCTTTACTAGAAGTGATAGTTTGCGCATGGGCTTATGACGTCGGAGTCCCCAACCCAGCGCATCACGGAGCGGTCGCAATGTTTAGTTCCTTCTTTTTTGGCGAACGATCGTTCTTGAACCCATCCACTTTGCAAGGGCTAATTTTTCCGAGGTTTATGCTCATTTAAAGGGGCCTTAAATATCCGCCGTGATTTAAAGTGTTTTTTTAGTGTGCCAAACTGAATGAGATCCGTAGTTAGGCTTCGCTAGTGTGTATGTTGTTATTTTTCCTGCAGTTTAGCTTCGCTTTTTTGTTGTTTGCGATAGGTTTGACACACACACACTGAGCTGTTTCTGTGCTTTGTGTATGTCCTTCTGTTTCGTAATATTTTCTTTCTAGAACCTCAGTACAATGTTTTCCACATTTTATTTAGAGACCTTCTTTTGTATTTTATATGAATTGATGGAATCATGTTTGGTTTATTTATGAAATGTTAATGCCCTGTAATTTATCATTATTATTTTTTATTTGTGCTTATGCTATCTATAGCAACAAATATATTATATAAGGGAGTTTAAATTCTTATTTTTTAAATATTTTGCAATAATTTTATATGTGGGCACAATTTTTGTTTTATTAGTATGTAATAAAATATTTGTATCTTTTCTTTGTTTTTAATGTTAATTATTTGTCGAAAATCTGAAGAAAACAAATCCGTTGGAAAAATAATTGAAAATAATAAATTGGCAAATGTCAGCTGGAACACAAATTATTCTCACCACTTTTGAAAGGATAGGATTGATGGGGAAATAATAGAATGATTAAATATCTTTGAACAGTAAACAAAAATTGATAATTTGAGTGCATTTATATTTTTAATGAAGTGTGTATATATATAATTTAATAATTATTTGAAATCATTAACTGAGATTATGAAAACCTAATTTGACAGAAATAAGTGACACTAAACTTTTAAAAACAATGGGGTGTACGAAAAGCAACATCAGTATGTGTAGTATCTATGCTTGAAAATTTAAAAGAAGGTCAAAATAATCGTATCTAGTAAGCACTGGACCATGTTACTTATGAGTACCTAAATTTATGTGCAGGTAATTAATTATTTTTGCAACAAATACCGATGGTTGTGAAAACTATAGATTATGAAAAACTGTATATAAGATTAAATCTAAATAATTTTTAAACATTATTTGAAATTTCTTGTTAGATTTCCTTCAAAATGTTTTATTTATGTATTTATTTTTTTGGCGTGTGTGCATTTAGTTATGCACCCATTATCAGGCTGTGTATGTGAGTTTGAGAAAGTTGTTGCTTTGATGCATTGTTATTCATGTTTTTGTGTTGCTGTGTGTGAGTATAAATTGAATTTGAATAAGCATCATGTATAAAAGCATCAGTGATAATTTTTATTTCTTTATTGTGTACTTGTACCTCTTGCTTCTCGAATTCGTGTAACTTGCTTATTTAAATTACATTATGTGACTAAATTTTTTTCTACATGTGTGTTTCGAGTTTGTAAGTTTTTCTTATTTTGAGCCAGGCTGTGAAAGTTTGTTTTTCCAGTTTTGTTATTGTCAGCCTTTATAAAATTACTTTCTAATATTTTTATACATTAAAATGAAAGAATGAAAATTGCATTTTTTAAAAATTCCCTCAGAATGATAATTTTTTGACAAATATAAAAAAAAAAAATTAGCAATATTTTATTTTGCCTGCACAGTAGCAGTTTGTGTGTTTCCAGTAGTAGAAATACTTTTACTACCAGACATTTGAAACATTATAAATCTTCTGTTCCAAACATGTTTGTCTACTTAGCAATAATTGTAACAGATAAAAATTAAGAGCAATTTTGTGTGCAAGTTGCAGAATATTTGGATGTTATTCATTTTGAAGTATATATTTTTATATTATATTTCTCTAATGAATGTGATCAGTAATGCTATAAAGAACATATTTGTCTTGCATTTCCTGTAAAACACCAAGGATAGAAATTCACTTGGATAGTGCAGTAATTAAGAATCTCAGCAGAGCATACTTTGTTACCACATGTGTTTGAAACATTCAGAAATAATAAAAAGGAAACATCTGACAAAGTTTAAATCATACATTCATTCATTTAATAAGCAAATCCCCCCCCCATTTTTTTTTTTTTAATTTATGTGTTTAATATTTTTGGGACATTTAATTACTGCTGCTTAGTTTTAAACTAAATTTTAGGCAAAATAACTGTAATTTTAATAGTGAAGTCTTAGAAATTGAAATCTAACAAAATCTTGTCCTGTTTTTTTAATTAGTTTTAAAGTAATGGAAAGCATATTTGTATTACATGATTTATTTTTTCAGAAAATAATCCAGTATATTTTAAGTTGGGTTAATTCTGGAAAATCTGATCTGCTGCTGTATTTGTTTTTTTTGGGGAAAGAGGATTTAAATTCCCCAGAAAGCAGTTAATTACACATTTGAAGTTTTTAACCTTTGATTTTACTTGATTCAATTTATTCCAGGTAATCTAGTTATTGTAATATTCCTGAACAATAATTTTGAATTTATCTCTTGTTTCAACTTTGCATATCATTTTTAAATGAGCAGAAGTGGTTGATAAATTTATCTTTCATAGTTTATCTACCTTAGTATGATCAACTAAATTGCATTAATGTATAAGTAAAAAGATAAGTGTTCTTGAAAAATAGCAAGTCTTTGTGCTTTCAATGATTTAGGCAAATGATTATAAACAAATAATATAATGCATATTGAGCAAAGGAAGCTACATGAAATTTTAGGCTATAGCTGTCTGGAAAAAACATTACAGATGGAAGAAACGGAAGGAGGGAGATCTTGCAGCCTGTAAAGATTGAATCCACATAGTTAGCTGTTCCCCCCCCCCCACACACACACACCTTACGGAAAACGTGGGAATTGTTGCTGAAGAACTTTCGTTCAACATGGTTAAAAAAATGTCAGTATTTAACTATTAATGTGCAAATACGAAATATGTAAAAAAGTCATTGATAAATACATTTGTATACCTCAGTCTCTTTGAAAAGGATTGTGTGAAAATAATAAAACCTGATATTCTTTGATCTACTATAAGTAAAGTTGTTTTCTAAGGCTCGTACAATAAAGCAGTTTTATGATCGTTGTTTAGCAACAGATTATCTTTTCCGAAAGAATTAAAGGGTCAACGAAAAAAAAAAAAAAAAAAAAAATCCAATGCCCGAAGCACGCGGAGGCGTGAAGAGCTTCTGTTATTTTGGCAGTGTGCCAAAAAGCTCTAATTGGGGGGGAGGGTTATTTCGAAGTATCTTACGAGGCTGATTGAACTTCTAAGGAGGCAATGGAATGGAATAGAAATGAATTATTTTAAATCAGTATGAGGCTGATCCTCGCATTTGAAGTATTTAAAATTTGTTTTCTTTCCTATATCTTATTGTCGATTCTTGTATTAGTAGTTATTCATGAAATTTTTTTTTTTTTAACTCTGGGGTTAATATCGTAAATTCTAAATGATTTTCGATAAATATAATTCGAAATAATTATCGATAAATATAGTTTTTATTAAAAGACAATTTTTTATTGTAGTATTTCTTATTTCTTCCAGTTCTTAGCAGTAGAATAGCCTGTAGTTTCATGACAAAACTTTCCTGTGTTAATCTTGTTTACTATAGGTTTTTTTGCCAAGAGTAAGATAAAAATTGTTCCTTCGTAGTTTAGGATTTCAAAATAATACAGTTTTTCATCACATTTAGATTTGTAAAATTGGAATTTTTTAGCGCTAATTTAATCAAATCATTCATTTCGCCAGAGTTGTGCTAGTAACTATTACTAAATTAAGAGATAAAATTAATTGATGATGAGTCCAAAAATAGTGAGTATTATGAGGAATGTAGCTTAAGGGTTATTAGTAATTTATAGTATAATTTAATAAAAATTACTAGGAATTATAGTTATTTAAATAAAAGCAATGATTTTAACTTAGCTATAAAATTAGGAATTTAAAATTAAATGAGTTAATCTGAAAAACATTATTAATTCTGTTTTGAAAGTTTGTAAATAATAATTTGTATAAATTGGGTTGAAGAAATATATTGCTGTTAAACACATACTTTTTTGTTTGTGAATTGTATAATATATTTGTCCTGTACTCAGGTTAGTATACTTGGAAGTATTAGATTTAATGTATGAATATCTCCATTGATGATAGATGTTAGCAGATGAATATAATTTTCACTTTTAACTTTTTGAAAAGTTTTAAAAATGCATAAATAAAACAGTGAATCTCCATTTGGGTAATAAAGCAAAGAACATATCAGTCACTTTTAAAATTAAAATTCTAAAAAGAGTCATTATAGTGCATTGGCTTTCTAACCCACTTTAAAAGAAAGCTGCTTTCATGGACCCCTTGCATTTTTCACTATAACATAGTTATAGTACAAATAATTGCACAGAAATAACATAAAGCTAAAGATTAGACTAAGAATATAAACAAAGATTTGAAGAAAATCTTTATTATATTTATATTTTATTATTTTTTGTATTATTAATTTTACAAATGTAAGCAAGTTTGCAGAAATAAAATTTCAGATTCTATTGGCACAGAAGTCCAATTTTAAAAACGTGGTGCTGCCCTTGAGGTATAGATGCAGTTCTTTTAATGTGAATAATAATTAAGAAAATATTTGGCATAAAACTGCTTAATTTAATTCTTAAGTCATCATGATAAAAAAAGTGTTGGCCTGTTTCTTGAT